CCCCCTCCTTTCTTCAGTTGCATGTTTCACTTGAAAGTTTAGAAGCATTATTTTTCTTGTCTTTTTCCTTGTCAAAAATATTTAATTAACCCGTTTAAAAAGTGTATTATTTCACTTATTATTTGGCCAATTTTAATCCCTCTTTTGTTACTACGAGTCATAATCTTGAATCGGACAAAGTGTCCTTGTACGTGCAACAATGATATCAATAAAACCCTTTTGATATTAGTAACTATTAAATATCTTTATCATAAATAACTACTATTCTTTTTGTAGCTTTACACCATGAAATTGATTATGATATACTAGCCACCCTAAAGAATACCTATGTTGATCGAATTTCTATACAACTTCTACAAATTACTACTTTCATTCGACAACAACTTCTTGATATGTATGCGGCTGCACAAGTAAAAAGGCTACAATTTCTTAAAGACAAAGGAAAAACTTCTAGACGTGAAGTATTTGCAACTATAGCCGATGTTGCTCATATTCAAACGTAATTTACATGTTGTTGAAATATATCACAAAGAAAATTGTCACGTTGAATATTTGGTATGACAATCCTATTTTACGTAAATAATATTAGTTCATATGATAATTGGACCTTCAACAATTAACTTGCTCTTGTATTTTCATCCCTTAAATTTAGTGTAAATTATCTCACACATTCTAATATTATTCATACCATTTAAAAGGTCTATACTTATTAGGTGGAAATCAAATAGGAAGATCCTATCGTCAAGATAGATTTATAATAATATCTTTTTAAACTCTCAGTGAAGGTCAATTTGTCCCTGAGGAAAAAAAAAATCTGTTACATAATTTTGAATAATTTACTACATTTAGAAGTGAACTAGGTAAATTATAAGTGAAGTAGTAGTACTTTTATCTTCGGACACTCAACTTAAACACTTTGTAATAATTAAAATTATTTACGAGCAAATGAAGAGACTATTATTACAATCTCGTCATTATATTGAATTAAAAGAGAAACTGAATTAAATTTCTCAAGTTTATAATTCAAGTTGAAGTATTATAATCGTCCATATAAGTTTGCCTTTTCCTTTAAGGTGCCCACATGATTATCTTTCTTTGTGTTGTTCACATAAACATGAGAAGATTGTACTTGATAATGCATAAAAAAGTTTCAATTTCCTTCTTTTTTTCGTATGATCTCACCATTAACAAATAATTAAAATGCTAATTGTATACGGTAAAAACCGGTTAGTCCTTCGTACGAACTGGTCGAAATGGTAATGCATTGGATCGAAGATCAGGTTGAGGTCCACAGTCAGGTCATCAAGCTCCGAGCCCTGGGGACCGATCAATGTCGAGCTCGAATCCAAATCGAACTATGATGAAGTTACCGAGCTTACGAGGCAGAGACCGACCAACACTGTCCCCGAATCAATACAAGGCTCCGAATCATAATCGAGCTCGAGTCGATATCGAGCTCGAGACAATATCGAGCTCATAGACAAAAGCCGTTGCAACCGCACTAGGAGAGAGAATCTTGGCAGGAATTATGGAAAAGCTGATTTATCATGGGTCTCCCACTATATATTTTTAATTGTATCTAAAGTAGGATCCCTCCACTATAAATGGGCTGGTTATTATTTCTGTAAAGGATCAAGTTTTGCATACACTGTAACTCAGATATCATATACTCTCATACTGAAGAATTATCCTTTTTCAGCTTCATAGGTTGACTCATCTTACTCAATCCTTAAATCATCCTCCTTCCAACTTTGCTTATTTTTTATTCTCTACAGTCAATATTCGATATTTCCATTCGTCTTTACGATTTGTGTAAAGTTATATCATATATTCTTAGAACTACATACAAATTCAACTCTATCCGTTTTTCGGGTAAACAGTTTAGCGCCCACCGTGGGGCTAAGGATAACAGTGGTTATTTGATATAAATCTGCAATACACACCATTTTACGCTTGTCTTTTGTAAGTGTCTTTGACTTCGGATTAGCAATGACAAACCTTCGATTAATGGGCTTACCCATTGACAATGAAGCTTGCCTTCAGGATGAAAATAACAACTTGACGCCTAGGGTCGGAAGGCCGCTTGTCGATGCCGTTGAAGCTTGAGTCGACGTACCTGAAGCTCGAGTCGAAGTACCACTAGATGTCTATTCGCATATGGCCCCTGAGGCAAACCAACATTCTGAAGCCGAAAATAACATTCATGGTGGTACTCGATCTGCAGCTCGAGACACCCATAACATTGAGGAAAACAGAGTCAGCTTGCGTATGATTTTTGAAATGCTGCAAACCCAACAGGTAGCAATAGCTCAGTTACAGATCCAAACCCAGGTACCAAGAAGGCCGGAGCCCAGTCCACCTCGAGAAATTGTCCACTGAACGGAGCCAGCAATAGTAAGGTCAAATGAGAAAGAATCGGAGACTACTCCCAAAATTGCTAAGATACTCAAGGAGCTCACAAGCGGATCGAAACAAATGATAAAAAAGTAAAAACCTATAACTCCAGGGTCGATCAGATCCCGGGGGCACCACCAATGATAAAAAGGGTTGGATTCCAAAAAATTCGTGCAAAAGCCTTTTTCCTCGAGTGTAGCCCCAAAACCAATCCCCAAAAAATTCCTTATGCCCGAGATTCCCAAATATAACGGGACGATCGACCCAAATGAGCATGTCACCTCTTACACGTGTGCCATCAAAGGTAACGATTTAGAAGATGATGAAATCGAATCTGTATTGTTGAAAATATTCGGAGAGACCCTCTCGAAGGGAGCAATGATTTGGTATCACAACCTGCCACCAAATTCCATCGACTCATTTACCATGATAGCATATTCTTTCATAAGAGCACTCGCCGATGCCATAAAAGTCGCAACAAGGAAATCAGACCTTTTCAAAGTAAAACAAAGGGATAATGAAATGCAGAGGGAGTTCGTGTCCCGATTTCAAAGGGAACACATGGAATTTCCACTAGTCAAAGTCGATTGGGCCGTTCAAGATTTCACCCAAGGGTTGAACGAACGAAGTTCGATAGCATCACGTCGGCTGAAACAAAATTTGATTGAATATCTAGCTATAACTTGGGTAGATGTGCACAATCGATATCAGTCAAAAATCAGAGTCGAAGACGACCAATTAGGAGCTCCTTCCGGACCAGTACATCCAAACATGTCGGTTATTAAAAACCAGAGGGACATCAATAGAGAGCTAAGGTCGAACCGAGACCGATATCAATCATACACCACAAATCGAAGGAACGATAGTTCGGGACGCAATTCAGCCCGGAACAATCGAAGAAGTGATCGATGACAAAATTCTCGGGGACTTATGAGCAAAAGTGGTTTTGACAAATATGTCGATCTTATAAAGGCACCTCAATTATCGGAATATAACTTTAGCATCGATGCATCAAGCATTGTATAGGCAATCGGAAGGATCAAAGATACTAGATGGCCCAGACCCATGCAAACTGATCCTTCCCAAAGAAACCCAAATTCAATGTGCAAATATCATAGAACACATGGCCACAAGACCGAGGATTGCAGACAATTAAGGGAGAAAATAGCCCGTCTATTCAATGAGGGTCACCTTCGAGAATTCCTCAGCGATCGAGCCAGGAACCATTTCACAT